TTTTTCGTGTGATGACGTGATGTACGGCGTTCTCTACAGTTTCCAATATGACAAAGTTCTCTACTTTTTTTTCTGTAGGTGCAAATTAGCAAACCATCAAAAGCCAGTGATTGTGATGATGATGAAGAATGTGACAGTGATGAGGAAATGCATACCAGTAAAGGCCTTGATGAGAACACTGATGCAGAGGAGGAAGATGGCCAAATCGAAGAGCCGCAGATGTGGTTTGGAGTGACACCCTTTCTGAGTGGAGTGATGCCTGCTGGCACGCTGAGAGCTGAGAGAAAACCTGCTGGTTACCAAGCACCTGGACTTATACAGGTAAGGGCTTTGTAAAGTTGGATCAAATACATCCATGTGCCTGGGAATTTTTAAATTCTCCGTTACAGATTGTCACTGGAAAGAATTTGCACTGAGGTTTGGATGTTGAAGGGAGAAAAAAATGAGATTTGCATTCAGTAATTGGATTTATTCTTTGGAAAAGATAACAGTGTGTGGCTATTTAAGGACTAACAAACACACAGCTACACCAGCTGAAATATACAGATGCTTTCTAAAATATACATACGCATTCCTTCCACTGCAGGTAAATGGCAAATCCTACAATCAGGCCAGACTGCAGCTTGGAAAGATGGGATCTTTGCATCCAGCTAACCGCCTTGCTGCCTACGTCACAGGACGACTAAATACTTCAGTTGATGTTCCTCAGAAAAATTCTCAGAAATCAGACTCTACACTTAAAACCAGCACTCCAAAAACTGGCACCGTAAATGTTGCGAGCTCATTAGTCAGTCCAAGTATCGCTGCAAGGAAAACTACTGATCTGAAGACACTAACGCCGTCACCAGGTAAGGTTGTCTCTCTGTTGCTAGACCACAGCAGAGGCACTTTGTTTTACTTACCTGATCTGCTTTATTCAAAACTGCCACCTCCTAAATGTGCTTCCTGTTCTTCCTTTTTTCTGGCTTTCTAGTGAAAATCAGAATTCATTTAAAAATCACATGCAAAGCCTTAAATGGTTCAGGTCCTTTTTCTGCAGCAGTGCTAGAGCTGACTGTGCTTTTGAGGTTGTAGCGGCTAAATTTTGAAACTCACTTCCTCAGCCCATCACGTCGGTTAAATCAG